ATCACCTAGAAAAATCTGCCTTCATGAGAGCAAACCCAGACATCAGCTGTGGAAAACTCCTTGGCCAATTTAACAACTTGAAGTGAAGCCATTTGTTGTTGATGGTGGTTTGCCCAGTATTTTTTAAGATGATTATCAAATGAACTGACATAAGAACTATGGTATGAACTTCCTGCTAACTACATTATATAGCAATGTGCTTGTTATTTATACAGATGCAAAAAATGTTTATACAAGACTCTTTGGGTAAGCATAATTAAATATGCACTAAGTCTAATGAGATTAAGCTTCAGTTGCATTAAAAAATTCAGTAATAAACTTTACAGAAACTGAACCCAGGCAGTCAACATGTGCACCAGCTGCTTTTTTCCCCCACATTAAAAAATTTTGACAGGAAAAGTATTTTATGTGCTTATTTTGCATAAGGACTGAGTAGCTGAGCAAGATAAATTCATGTATCAAAAGATTTACCTGCATTTCATATGTAAAACTTAGTTGTTCTTAGAAACTAGTGCTTGAGTGTTCACATTCACCTTTTACATCCCAAAATCACCATGTTCCCAAGAACTGTTGTAGGGCTCCTTATTTGCAGCTGATGTAAAACTGAAGTCTAGAGCTAAGGAAACCCACACCCAACTTCTGATCTCAGTGGAGCTGAGGTCTGAAGTCTCCCACTGAAAGCAGGATTTAGGCTGAGGTTTCTAAAGGACTGTAGACACCCCTTGAATGGGACATTTAGTGCCCTAGAAGTGAATTAAGTGCAGGAACAGACTGAGACCAGGAGAAAAATCAACAGATGCCTTTAAGGTGTGGAATACTCAAGTCACCTTGGCTGATTCAGAGCCCTGAGCCACAGCAGAAATTAAACCCTGGTGTTGCAGACCATGGGTTGGCAGACCCACCTGCCTGTGGGCTTGATCTCCACTGGAGATTGCTTTCCCCAACACGTCACATTTTCAAAACCAGGACAGACACACAACTTACCCCATCTGTGAACCCTCTGTGCCAGGCAGGGAGGAAGGGGAGAGCTCCTCCTCACTGTGCTGCCACCAGCACCGTGCTCACCAAGTGACAGCAGCCTGGCAGGACAGGTGACATGCAACCCCACCACTAATTAGTAGGCATTTCTTCCAGCATCAGAAGAGTTCAGTGAACCCACATCAGTGCTCTTGGCCACACAACCCTCTGTGATGGGGGTACCCTTGGTGTGGAGAAGCTGAGCACCAAGGGTGACAGCCCCCCAGGCCAGGTTAACAGTCTTGGGGCTTTAACCCTGGGAGCCTGAGATAGAAGCTGAACAGCTCAGAGACCTAAGGTCAAATCTGCTTTTTTTTTTTCTTTCCTGGCTCCTCGAGAGCATCAATTGTCTTTATCCCTTTGTTTCTTTGCAGGTGAGAAGCTGCCCCAGCAATAGAAGGATGTGCTTGCCTGTGGGGCTGAGGAACATCATGTGCATTCACAGGGAGCTTATCCCAGAGGCACCTGCAAGGAGCAGGACACAGGCAACTGGGCAGCACCAGCCCATGGAAACAGATGTTTGCCACCCTCTGCCTTTGTGAGCTGAACAAAGATGACGTTGCTGAGAGGGATACAGCAAGTTCTGCCCAGAACCCTGCTTGGTGGGATGGATGCCCCACTTCACACCTGGATCACCCCCACACAACACGGTCCTGTTATGATTCCCAAGACCTTTGGGAAAGGAAGGGGCTGGTGCCATTTCCCTTCCTTTTGCAAAGGACTAGCCTGGACAGGGAGCACAGGGAACTTGGCTTTCATCCCTCCTCCCTGCCAGGGGCTCCTGCAGAACTCCAGGCCCTGTGTCCACCACAGCAGGGCTGTGGGAAACCTTCCTTGCTCAGTCCCAGGGTTGTATGAGTGTGGAAACTTATTGTTGTTGGAATTAGAGAAGGTAAAAAACCTGTGAAGTTCCTACGAAGAGGAGATGGGAGAGAGATCACCAGCCCACAGCTCAACATCCTGGCAGGTATTCCAGTTTTCCACAGCTCCCACTTCCCTCCACATGTACCAGATCAGCTGCATCCTTGCTGAGTGAGGCAATCCTTGGGGAGGCTGCAGGGAACTCCTCCAGGCACAGGAGGGATTTTCTGGCTGTTCAGAAGGCTGGAGTGTGGTTTGGTTGGTGGCATGTCACCTCCAGGTGCTGCCCCACTTGCTCTTTGCTGGCAGCCTGACAGCTTGTTCTGCTTGTTTCACTTCAGTTAAGACTGAACTGAGCTTGGGTTGCCTGCAACCCAGGGTGTGTCTGGAGCCTCACGTTGGCTTCTTTCCCTTCTTCTGCTCCTTCCAGCTGGTGTCACTGCAAGGTGGGGGCTCAAGGCAGGCCAAGGGACAGCACTCATGAACATGGCCCTCAGAAAGGCAGCTCATGTCCACCTGCATAATCACCCAGAAATTGTACCCAGTGTCCTGCCCAGGAAGGGACTTCCATTCAAGCTGTGGTGCTGCTGAACTTCCTAAGTTTCAGCAGTGACTGAGTGCTGCAGGATGCCTTCTTGGAAAGCTCCCAACACCTTTTTAGACTCACCAAGCAGTGGCCCACCAGCAGCAGCACAAATGAATATCATGAACAAAGTGTCCACGGCCTGATGGCAACTTAGGAATAAAACAGAACTCTGAAAACATAACTCACATCATTCTTTGGAGTCAGATCATTCCAATCCCCTTGTACAACCCAACTATTAAGGCACAGAAAATGTAAAAAAGTGAGCTAAGAGAAAAAAGTGAAAGTTTCTAATCCAAGATCAGAGGTATTTCTGCTTTGATTTTTTTTTCTCTCTCAAGTACATAGAAAAGAAAAGCATCTGTCAGGGCCAGAGGGAAATGTCACTGGTTTAGCACGTTGTTCCCTCAACTTATTGAATGCAACAGGGACCTGGTGCTGGAGCTGCTTTAAAACTTCTGGGCAGGCACAGGGGTAAAAAGGACTCATCTGGCCCTGCTGGGCAGATCTCAGCAGCCAGCAGGTGTGAAGGACAAGCAGCACGACCAGAGAGAAGGGAATACAATCTCAACCCTATTCCTCAGCTTTTTCTTCTTTGCCTTTGTTTGTAAAAAGGAACAAACTAAGGAACCTGAAGAGCATTTTGAGGCTGTCATCTCAGGGTCAAGAAATACTCCTGTGTTCATGCTGGGTTTGTTGTTTCTCCTGCTTTTTTGGGGGGAGACAGAAAAAAAACCCAACCCTAATAGTGTAGTCTTCCACCTCAAAGTAAGGGGCAGGCTGAGGAGCTGCCTGATCCACCCTCCAGGAAGGAGAAACACCAGAGGTTTTAAGTGACCTTTTCAAGGCAATTGTTCTCCCACTCTTTTTGTTTTGTTCTCAGCAAAGCAGCATGGAAATTCCTACACAGGAACACACAACTCACAAGAAATCAATTCCAGCATAGTTACCAAGATAAAGAATTAAAAACAAATGCCAGAACAACAACAAAAAAAACCACCAAACATCAAAACAAAACAACAACAAAAAAAGGAACAAATACAGAGATTCAGAGTTGCAAGAAATGGATACTAAGATGAGGTTTGCCCATCTCTTACTGGTTGTCCAGCAGAAGGAAGGTTCCAGCTGCAAATGCTGGAGGAATGTATCACATTGGAGGGGTAAAGGGTGCAGGGAAGAGCAAGACCAAGACAAGGCAGCAGAGGGAGGAAAGCAGAGAGGACCCAGGGGTTCATTCAGAGGTTAGACTGAACACACAGAGCCAGGGGGAACCACTGGTTTGGGTGGCAAGTGACTGGTCTGGGTTTGGATGGAGCCAGGAAGCTGCAGGTGATTTCAGTGGGTGGTCTGTGATTGCTGCAATGCAGGGAGGGACCTGCTGCCCACACTCCTCTGCTCATCTGGGGCCAAGGAAATCAAGGCAGAGGGAGGAGGAAGGGCTGGAGAGACAGGGCTGGGCAGAAAGGGGCAGGGATTCTGGCCAGGGAGGAAGTGAAGAAACATCTCCAGGCTGGGGTGAGAAGGTACAATCAAAGGGGAAAACATCTGAATACCACCTGAATTCTTGAAACTGGCTGAAGAATTGCACTGGTCAGCCCCAAGTTTATTAGGTTAAGAGGGGTGCCCATAAATGTGCTGAACCATGTGCTGGTTTTTCAGGGCTCAGCAAGAGTCCTGTCAGAAGGGCTATTGGGTACAACACTCAGGGAAGCTTTGGGATAACTCTGGAAGGGCTGTTTCCACCCCTTAGAGGGATGAGCAGATATGATGGTTATAGGCTGACCAGACATCTCCTGAGGGGTTTTTCTGAGGTGATGGGGATAGGGCAGTGCTGGTCCACCCTGTGGTGGGCACAGGGAGAGGGGTGCTGGGTTTTCTGAGTTCCTAGGGTCAGAGAAACATCATATTTCCACAACAGAATAAAAGGGATTTAGAAGGAAGTAAGTGCAACTGAAACCACTGGAACTGGTTTAGAAGAGGCACTTCTGTTTAGGAAAGAGGGCAGGAGAAGTTCTGAATCTCTTCATGGTCTTTATTTACCCTGCACTACTAGAAACTAGAGAGAAGTTGTGCAGTGAATCAGGAGCTTCAGCAGGTTATTCCACCAGGCCATGAAACATGGGCTGGACAGCTTGGATTCAGCTCTGGCCACATATTGTTATGCCAAAACCATGTCAGCTTAGGAGTCCTTGCCCCATTTCCCTCCCCTTCTCACCTTAGAAATAGGCACTAGCATTTAAGGGGCTTGGCTGACCAAAAATCTGCCCACACTTTGCAGATGTGGGAGGGAGAAAGGAACAATCAGACATGGGGAAACACAAGGTTGATAGATAAAACTAGAAAAAACTGGGCCATATTTCACTGTGCACACTATTTAAAAATATGGTCCTATGTTTAATGTTAATGGAAACCATCATTCATGCATCATTGCCATGGGAACATTTCTATTAACATTAAACATACTTCAATCCCAGTAAATGTTACTGGCTGGCAGAGGAAAGTTACAACGTGTGTAATTTTGCTCTTTGTTTTCTCTTACCATGTGTAGGTGTCTGGGTGGCACTGTTTAGTATCAGGTGATTATAATTTTGTTCTTGGTCATCTGAAATTCACAGAAAACAAAAAAAAAGAATCCCTTTAAGAACCAGCTCAGCATACCCACTGATCTGCAGATGATAATTACAGCTCACAGAATTCACAGGAAATCTCAGCATGATTAAAGAAAGGAGAAGAAAATGCTTCAGAAAGCAAAAGATTCTGTAATGGAGTTCACTTAAAATTCCAGATGCAAGAAGAAGATGATAATGGAAACTGCTCCCCTTCTGCTGAGCCTGCAAATGAGAATTATCTGCAAAGGTAAGAAGCATGTCCAGGCAGGAACAACCCCCCACAGCTGGTTCCTGGGAGGTGCTGGAACCCACCAGCTCCAGGCTCTACTGCTCCAGCTCCATCCAGGATGGAGGTTTGCAGAACATTAGACCCAGCTACTCAAAACCCAGACTCTGCCACTGTGACAGCAACCACAGCAACCACGTCCTGTGTGAGTGCAGGGAAGGATCAAACAAGAGGCCTCATAAATGCAGGAGGTCAAGGTAACCACTTGTGCATGGTCTGTAGGTCTCCCCTGAGAGCTGAGATCCCTGCAGACCTGGTGCATTCAGTATGACATGCAAAGCAGGAGGAACAGTCAGTGGTGGAACAAGTGCTACCAGTGTAGTTATTAACTCCCCTTTGGTTGGAAAACAACTTTCATTCTCACTGTCATAAAACCATTAGATATGTGGCTGCTGATAAACTCCTGTCACCTTGAATTTCCAGACAAGCCTTCAACACAGAATGAACTCTTGGTCCAGATCTTTACAACACCTTGTGGAACTGCAGCAATGCAGGGTGAGAAGAGATTTCAAGAAATCTTTCTCACATCTCAGGTTCTCCTGATACAGGACAGGCTGCTCTGATGTCTAAGTCTGCTATTCTTAAAAACTTATCATTCATATCTCACTTTCTCCCTGGGAGATCTGTTTCATTAGGTCTTTCCTACTACTTTTTAGGCCAAATGCTTCTTTTCTGTCTACCAGAGACATGAAGAAAACCCCCCTTACATCTGTGATAGATCTTCATGACCAAGCTGTTACTATGTGTTCCCTTAATTCTTTTCTTCAAGCTAAACAACATTT